ATATTTAATCATTAATGATATAAATAATATAAAAAATTTTGATTACCTATGATTGAAAATATATTTATATTATATATATAATGTATATTAGATAAATATATATATAAAATGTTCCCTGAGTAAATGTTCCCTGTGAAAATAAAAATATCAATTATTATATCAATTATTATTATTTAATAATTATGATAGTGTATATCATTGTATTATAATAATAAGAAACAATTTTTAATTTTATTTTCTAGTTTTATTCTAATATTTAATTTTTTTATTTTTAGTTATAAATTTAAGTAATAATTTGAAATATTTAAAAATATTTTATAATATTCCAGATTGTTTTTTTTTCTTTTTTTTAATTATTGTAATAATTCTTTAAATAAGTTTGTTTTAGATTAGATTTTGTCAGAATGCATGAGTCTATCATCAATTGGAAAATAATTATATTTTTTTAATATTTTTTTTTTTTTTACTAATCTATAATCTTATTTGTTTCAGAGATCAATGTGGAATCAATGTGGAATCAATAAAGAATTCTTATATTCATATTATTTTCTGGTTTTATTGAGATTTTTTGGTAGATAGACTTCCTAAATAAATCTTTAAATTATTATGTAAAAAAATTATTTCTTTTAGATTTGAGTATTAAAACGAGTATTAGTTAATTATGTAGATAGAGAATAGAATTGTAGATTTAGATGATATTATTTCAATATTTCTTAAATCAGGTCATGTTGTAAATTTCATTTACAAATATCTTTAAATTTAATTAAGTTAAAGAATTTATGAAATTTTTCCAAGTAAAAGATTTAAAATATAAATAATAATAATAATATTAATAATATAATAAACTTATAGCACTACAGAAATACTGTTTAAAGTATATTTATAAATGCATGCATAATAAATGATAATAGTAATGATTGTAGTTGCTATTAAAAGTGATGGTAGTCAATAAAAATAAATATAACTCTGTGTGGTATATATTTGATTTTTTTTTTATTCTTTAACTTTGTAATTGTCAATATTTTACATTTTATATTTTCGTGACAATGAATATATAAAATATTATACGTACGAAATAATATATTTGTGTCTTATAAAGTATACAATTAATACAATTATAATTTAATTTTTACTTTTAGGTTTAGTTTATCTTGTCAGTTTTCCTTAGGATTCTATTTGTTATTGATTTTGTAAAAAAAATCAAAGATCGATTTTACAAACAAACAGAAGATAACATTAATTTTAAACAAATTTTTCTGTGAAAAATAGCGAATAGGATCGTAAATAGGAATATTAGATCTATTATATGACAAGATAAAGTAGGATAAGAATTGAGGAACAGTGCCATCTTTCGAGAGTGCACTATCAAAGAATGGCGCTAATCTTCAATTCTCATTCTACTTTATTCTGTTTTTAAAGAAATGTTTCTGGTATTCAAAAGATAGCGCTTATAATCACTTCTTACTGTACTTCTACTTTCTTCCACTTTCTACTCTTGCTTATATTAATTTCATTTATGATATTCTGAAGATGGCGTTGATTTTCATATTTTTATCATCATCATATCTTTATCCTTTTTTCACTATTTGCTCTCCTTATTTATATTTAGTTTATAAAATATATGCATCTTAAAGACTACCGATATTTAATTAAATTTATTGTTTTCTTTGTCTAAATTATTGATTAAAAATCATAATATTTGATCTTATTATTATATATAATAAGTATATATCTTACACATATCTCTTTTTATAAATTCATACTTTTTTTTCCCCCTTTCTTAATCATTTATCGTATGCACAATCCTGATACGTGGCATTGTGCATCCAAAATTTAGTCGTATATAAATTTATATTGTGTTTGCTTATAACACAAATTTTATAACGCAAAACTATTTAAACTTATCATAAAAGAAATTATATGTATTTAACACGAGAATCGCGTAATTTCATTTCTCTTTGTGTCTCTTTCTAATCGAAAATGTACGGGAAGGATTCGGCGTTCGCATTAAATATCGAGTAAAGTGCACATAGTTCCCTGTATTTACACAAACCGTGTTGGTCCTTGCCGTGTCGTAGAACAGAGAGAATGATTGAGTTCGCCGGTTTCAAACAGAGTTTACAGGATGGGTTCCTGTAAACGGTTCCACCAATGAGAATTCAGTTGATAGATTATGTCTGTCGATCTTCTGTATCTTTATACACGAATTAATTCTAAGATTCGAAATAATCGAATATTTCAAGTTTGATGAATATAATTGAACAAAGAAAACAATAACTTGAATTTAAAAATATTGATATTAATTTAGAGAATCCGTTAGAATTTCTAAATTAGAGATATTATTTAAGAATAATAAGTTTCTTCACGGACGGATAGATATTATCGAATGAAGATAAAAATCGGATTTAAATCGATTTGATTTCGATCGAGAAGCGATACAAGTAATTCTGTCACGCACAATGGACGAAACGCTCCAGAACCAGTTTCTATTTTTGAACAAATATCGATGTATAACAGCGATATTCGACTGTACGAAGCGGTTACGAATCGGCGGCGCTCCTTTAATTGATAACCCGATTAATTATGCATTCGGACTTTGAGCGCAACACCAGTTCACCAGTTCAAACAAGGGTGGCAAGTCGTCCGGAATGCGGCATGCAAAGTGCCGCTTGCGTGCGAAACGGCTGTGAGCTAACGTGGCTTTTGTTAAAAGCGCTTAAATTTATAATGACCACCGTTATCGGCCGTCGTGATCGAAAGGTACGACGACCAAATTTAAGGATGCAGGAACAGAAAATTTGATCGCGATTTAATTATTCCAATGTGAATATACTATATATATTAGAAATTATATTTTATCCGAATATCGTTTAAAATTTTTAAGAATTAGTAAACGTTAGATACGTTTTTCTTCGCGTTCAGATATCATTCAGTCGCGAAATAACGAGTTTTCGTGAAATTACTTTCAAGGATTTTAATACGAGTTATATAACGCGAAGTCGTATAACTTGGTGCAAAGTAGGCGAATGGGAACACGTTTTTCTTCTCTCGTATCAAACAATATAAGAAGGAAAAAAAGAAATTATAGCTCACGAAGGCCTATAAACGCGAGGCGTTAAGAAAAGCGACGAGCAACGAGGGGACAGCAACTTCTAGCTCGCGAACGGGGAAAGCTCGAGACGTTAACGATACCCTGCGCGGCTTTAAAAACTAATATTTTCATCATTGTTAGTTTTTATGACAGAACGAGTAACGGAGCCTCTTTCGTTCATTTTAAATCGAGGATTTAGATGGAAGATGAAATTATTAGATGATTGAAAAATAATTTCTTTAGAATATTTAATTCTTCTAAATTCTTTATCGTTAATTTTTATGAGGGAATACGTATTGGAATTATTCGTTCCGTTCGTTTAAATCAGATATAGTAGCTGGAAGATAAAATTTTCATTAATTTATTTATTAAAAAGATAGTTTCGGTACATTGCTACTTTTGAATTCTTCAATTTTTCTTTCTAGCAAAATAACACTTAAATTTTGCTCGCTATTCACATTCGTTAACGCATTCGCGTTAGTCGTATTTAAATATTTGTCGATATATCTTCCGGTAAAGTAACACTTGTATTTACAGTTTCTTCTTTATTCGTCGATGCATTTCTAAATCGCGACTCGTTTAAATATTTGTGGATATTTCGCTGCTCTTTCGCATTCTCTGCATCCCGCACCAGTTAGAACAGTTTTTCAGGGAGACGGTGGCACAAGTAGCTTGAAGCTTGAAGCTTGAAGGTGAGATCGTTAGCGCGAAGAGTGTGACTTCGCATTGTGACTTGAAGTATGTCTTAAGTGTTAGTTTATTGTTACCCGCTACCCGGTGGGCAGGCTTCTCTTACATATTTAACCTGGTCCATTAGTGCCCAGTCGCGTTTATGTTTCGAAATGCTGTAAAACGGTCGTGAAACGTTGCCGAGTTGTCGCGTTGATACGTTTTTATCGTGCATATAGTATAGTTTTAAAATGAATTTAATTGTCTGCTAAAATTTATTAATAATTGCAATTTTTTTCCCCATTAAATATAGTGGAAAGGTGATGACGAAGAGATATACAAGAAGAATCTGGATTTCATTTTGAATTGCAGATAAATTATCGATTTGAGACCAAAAAAACAGTAGAATACACAATTGGATTATAAGGTACGATTGATATAGATTTATATAGAAGATTGATATAGAATCCTATTAGATTTTCTGTTAGATCCGTGAGTGAATCGTTTAATTTCAGAGTCACAATTTAAAGATCTTTAAAGATCGAGGAAGATACACACGTATTCAGATTACTATCAAATAAATCTCATTTCGATTTATTTTCTCCTATAACGTTTAATTTTCTTTAGAAATATCTATTCTCTTGTTGGAAGTTTCTATCTTTAACTCGATCAAAGAATCGACGGAAATAAAGGTCTTTAAGAGAAGGAAAAGGCAATTTGACCGACCGAGGACACGTGGTAGGCGGGCTCATTAAACTTTTCGTCGTTTCATCCTTTGGAGGAATCGTGTCGAGAGCAACGGCTCCCGCGGGAATACCGGTGTGGCGCGATTATACCGACCGCCAAGAGAGAGCCATCCCAGGAAAGGATTATACGGCGTAAGGAGGAAGGGTTAAAACAGTCCTCCATTCCCGCCACCCACTAGAACTTCGAATTCGAACATTTTCATCCAGCCAATCGAGCGAGCAAAAACCGACACTCTTTCACGATCGAAACTTCTCGAAACCGTGTTTTACCAGAAATTAGCAGAAAGTTAGTCGAGAAACTCGTGTTACGACGCACCAAGACGAATGCCCGTTATCCCCGAAACAAGCTTGGCGAAGGAAAAATAGCGAGTTGTCAGTTATAAGTTTCCGAGTTGTTCCGCCTCCTCTTGCTCGCTTGTCATCCCGTGTTTCTTCGTTAATGTAATTGACCGGCGGTGAAAGTGGCGATCCGGCAAGTAGATGATACATGAGACCGGTATGTACGGTTTCCTACGAGACTACTTCGGTTTCTTTTCGCCGACGTCTCGTCGTCCAAGCTGGTCGCGTCCGATTTATCGAATCGACGGTAAGACGATACGATACGATACGATGGATCGAATTATATACGCGAGGAGAACAGGCTCTATGCCAGCGTGCATTGAGTTCCAACCGCAGCGTCTCGAAACGCTTATTCTCTGATTACCGTGTTTCTCCAACCGTTGTCCATCCGCCATCGATTCTTTCCTTTTAATTTTAGCGCGCCCTCGAAAACGAAATATATTTCTTTTTTTCCACGCGCGGTTAGTCACACAGAGTAGAAGAGAAGAATTATATACGTGTCGGATCGTCTCGTAAAGATAAATGTTGAAAACGTAGGGAAGGGGGGCGGCGCCTAATTAAAGCGTCTCTCGGAAACGTTTTCTCGGTTCTTCTCCGCGGCGGGGAATAAACCGAAGAGTCGGTTGTTACCATAAATTCTTAATCCGAATCGGCGGTAAAACTGAAAGTTAACCAAGTTCGGTAACATTAGCCGTAACAATGCTCCCAGTAAGTTCTTACGGTAACGATGCTGTAACGACGGTTTCCGGACCGTGGCAATTTCTCGCGATAA